TGGTCAAGGGCTACTTTTCAATATAAAACTTTTATCTCTGGGATACTTAGTAATCCGATCGTTGGACCGCTACAGTGAGTCTCATCGGAGAAGTCCGAAATGGAATTGTTTTCTCGATAACTCAGCGAGGGTGTTTCGACAGCGGAGGAATGGAGAGGAAAAATGGAGTAGAGGAGTATTAAACGTTCAAGACAAGCGGCTTCAAGAGACGCCGAGAGTCCAGAACAGACACGGACTCGAATTGATGATCAACGTGCAAGACAAGGCGCTTCTCGAGCAGCTGAGAGTCCAGAGCAGAGACAAACTCGGCTTGGCGACCAACGTGCACGACAAGCTTCCTCAAGAGACGCCGAGAGTTCAGAATAGAGACAAACTCAGCTGGGTAGTCTACGTGCAAGACAAGCGGCTTCAAGAGACGCCGAGAGTCCAGAGCAGACAGGGACTCGAATTGACGATCAACGTGCAAGACAAGCAGCCTCCAGAGCAGTCGAGACTCCGGAGCAGAGACGAACTCGGAGTGAAGATCAACGTAGACGGCAAGCAGCCTCAAGAGCAGCACATTGGACATTCATGGAAGGGGAAGCGTTTCGCTATGATCCAGTTAACAACTACGACAGCATCCTCAACTTCATATTGGGCAAATGACCGATGTTTGGTCATACTGTGATGCTCTCAAGTGGCCTGGAGAAGCACCGGGTATGTGTTGCTCTGGTGGTAATGTGAGGCTACCAGCACTTCGGCCTCCTCCGGAACCACTGATGTCAGGAACAACGTCTCAGTCGAAACATTTCCTGGAGAACATTAGAAAATACAATTTCTGCTTCCAGATGACGTCTTTCGGCGCCGCAAATGAAGTGTGTGAGCCAGGTTTCATGCCCACCTTCAAGGTGCAGGGTCAAGTCTACCATCGCGTGGGATCTCTGTTGCCAGTCTCGAACGGCAAGAAAGTATCGGCTATGAATTGTTACGCATACAGAATGATGGTGCGACATGAAGCTGTCAATCACATCATAAGGTGTTGCCAACTGTTCCACCAGTTTGTGGACCGATATCGGGTACTTCCGCTAGTGAAATATAAATAAGCTAATCGGTCCACCTTCGGATGAGAAGGTTCGAATTTTTGTTTGCAAAGCTTAAAAATAGATCATTAGACGCAGCTTTTCACGGTGACTACAAATTTGGACTCGAAAACAAATGAAAGTCAAATATTCGTGGTGAAAATTTAAATTTTTAAATTTAATTTCGTGATCTAGATGTTTTTTCCAAAAATTCTGAAAACTATACCGTCGGGTAGAGAATCAAATCCTCTACAAAAGAACTCATTTGTTTTGACGTTTAGACGCCAATTATTTTTTATTTTCTAAAAGGAGTTTTGGCGCTTATTTTGTGAGCAATTTTATTGCTAGGGAACTAATTCAAGAAAAAAGTCCGTAGTGATTCTGATAGCCCAAACTGTGAGCTTTAATTTAGTAGTTAAGCAATCATTTTAAAATTAATTTGAAGCTGAATAATTTACATTTTACTGAAAAACCGCTCCATTTTTTGAAATTCCGTAACGGCCTCTATTTTGACTATAAATTTTGATCCGCTTGTTCAATCAAGCTCAAGTTAGTTTTCGTAGTAGAACTTCCTAATGTGTACAAACGAGTGTTTATGAAATACTTTTGTCTTTTCGAAAGAATGTATTAATTTGTCTACAAATAACATAGATAACTATATGAACCAAGGAATAGAGTCAATTTATAGAAACAATGTATTAATAAAATATGTGTATAGTAAGTTTCATGGAGATATACAACAGATAAAAGAAGAACTACTTTATTGTTGACGTTAATTTGTATGAAGTAAGCCTATCATGTAGAATATGACATTAAATATGAGAAGTATGAATAGAAATGTTAAGAAACATGTCATATTCCATTGTATCATTCTAACAAGTTTGGCCATGGCAAATCGATAATGATCAAAGTGTTCATTGGATTGAAATCTTCCAAAGGTAGTCCTTCGCCATAAAATTCTTCTTCTTCTTTCTCCCCCTACTGTAAAAATGTTTCATTTTGTTGTTTTTGTGATATATTTTCTTGTTCGTCCCTTAATTCTTGTATTTGATGATCAACTTCTGTTTGTATATTTGTATTGGAACGATGATCTTGTTCATCGGTCTAAAATAAAATGGAGCAAGTGAAAAATAGTCTAAGTTTCCTGTGATCTTCTTCCATGTTTACTTTACACCGTAGAATTCGAACATAGCATTTCACAATCAGATAGATTAACTGTCACATTTATATCTTGAAGCTACTGACTATAATTCTTGTTTTCATTCTCGTTTATCAACGATAATGTTGTCGTATTGTCATTCGAAAATGAAGATAACTGTTCAAAATGAAAGAAAATATAATTGTTTTATCTCATGGATCCGTTTATTTCTTTTTGTACCTGAATAAGTGATTGATGTGATAAGGTGCTGCTAATTCAAAGTTTCCACAGGATTTTATTTTTCTATGAAACATACATATTCTGATGCGCCGGGATGCAGTGATCACGAATATCACCTTTTTAGCTCGATTAAAGCTTATACTCATGGGGGAAAACTCGAAATACTGAATATACGTCAAAAATCGAAAAAACACTACTTGGCGAAAATTGGTTCTACTTTTTTCTCGTTTTCTTCCAGAGCTCTGACAGTTCCTTTTTCTGAATCCTTGAGTGAAACTGATTCTGAAAATGTGTTATAAAGTAACTTCCAGCACTTGTCTTCACCTCGAAAAAAAATTATCTATAGGACACATCATAAATGAACACCTTGCTTTTGGAAACTATTCACAGTTTTTCTATTGATGCCTAAAATATTTTTCTATTTGCATCAGAATCGCCGTCAAGCATACAATAGAACTATGTGTGTAGGTTTTCTGGAGAAATTACACAGAAAAACGCACTTGATCACTATGCCATCTTTATGTCCTACAGAGAGGAATCCGCGGACGCTTTCTATTGGTTAAAGCAATCAGCCGGTCACCGTAGCTGTAAGGTAACTCATACAACAGCTGGTAGCAGAGAGAAACAAAGGGAGAATTCAGCTGAGGTTTTAACCAGTTTTTCTAATTTTCTACTAACTTTTTCTTCTAACTAACAAAATTTTCAAAAGGTGTTGGTCTTGATAAAAGAGGTGAGAGAGAGCACAATTTGAACAAAACCAAATCAACTTGAAATTACAACGACGTTTTTCGCAAACGCTTGAAACCTATAGTAAAGGACAGTCTTATAAGGAAGTACTTTCAATGTATTTTAGCTCTATTTGTAAAGACACGATTGTTTCTCATCGAAAAATAACGAATGCAAATATTAACGGTTGAGCTTTTATTTTTGATAGCGTTGTGTAGATCTATTTTCATGTTTAAGCATTATTCGATGTCAGATATTTTATTTGGGAGAGGCTGTGACGACTTCCTGCTAATGAAGCAAAGCTCTAACTATCAGTCGGATCAGATTCAGCGTCATTTGTTAATTTGAGCATTTGTTATTCTGTGTTAATTTGAGCGATTTTGCTTGAAATTTGTAAGAGACAGGAAAAAATTTCTTGGTCGTTTGTGGTATATCGAAAAGGAAGCCT